AGTGCCCATGCTGCTGCTGCCCGGGCCGCTCTGAGCCGAGAGATACTAAGAACTCCAATAACACTCTAGATCGGTGGTTCCCTGGCTGAACATTAGAATCACTGAAGAGCTTTTTTTTTTTTTTTTTTTTCTTTTTTTTCTTTTTTGTCTCCCCATTTTGGCTGCCTGTTTGTATTTGTGTCTATATTTAGTAGGTCTGCTACGACTTCCAATCTCTAGTGCAAGACTGTAAAGACAGAGAGAACTATCGATCTGAGAGAAACACGTCTATTGGTTGCCTCCTGCACGAGCCCTGACCAGGACTCGGGCTGGGGAGGAGCCGGCAACCAAGATACATGCCCTTGATCAGAATCGAACCCAGGACCCTTCAGTCTGCAGGCCGACACGCTATCCACTGAGCCAAACCGGCTAGGGCTCACTGAAGAGCTTTTGAAAACAAATACCTCTGTTGGTGCCCCAAGTCATACCAATGGCTGAGGATTCTTAGGAGGAAGGAGGACATATTGGACTCAGGAAATAAACAGGAGTGGCGCGTGGCACCCACCGGTGATGACGATGTGCAATGAAAGGGAGTGCAGTTTTTAAATTCCTCTGCCTCTAAAGTCAACATAAATAAATGCAAGAAATAAAACAGTCTTGCTGCGCGTTCGGTGACCTTCCCGAGTAGCTGGCTGTGCGGGTCGGGGCTGCCCGAGCTGTTGGTCCTGCGGCGAGATGTTTCAGAGCCTCGTGAGAAATGTGTGGGTCCCCATGAAGCCCTACTACACCCAGGTTTACCAGGAGATCTGGGTGGGCATGGGGCTGATGAGCCTCATCATCTACAAGATCCGCAGTGCGGATAAAAGAGCTAAAGCTCTGAAAGGTTCAAGTCCTGCACCTGCTCATGGTCATCACTAGCAGCAGGGCCGAGGGCGCAGCGGGGAGCGTTGGCTGTTAGATGGGGACGAAGGACAGTATCTAGAAGTGCCATGCCCTTGCTGGCATGAATAAACGTACCTTAGACACCAAAAAAATAAATAAATAAATAAATAAATAAAACAGTCTTCCCCGCCCTGGCTTGTGTGGCTCAGTTGTTTGAGAGTTGTCCTGTGCACAGAAAGGTCTCCGGTTCGCTTCCCGGTCAGGGCATATGCCCAGGTTGGAAGTTCGGTTCCTGGTAGGGGGCATGCAGGAGGCAGCCAACCAATGATTCTCATCCTTTCTAATGGATAGTTCTATCTTTCTCTCCCTCTCCCTTCCTCTCTCTCTAAAATCAATAAAAACATATATTTTTTTAAAACGTTGTTGTGACTCTAAGACCCTGTAGGGCCAGCTCTGTGTGTTTCTCAACTCCATATTCCAACTGTGTCGTAAGTGTTTCCCTCCACGTCCTGCGTGGTTCAGGGTTCGGGTCTGGAAGAGGAGCCGCACACAAATGAAATAGAAAAGCCA